TGAATAACTACTTACATTATTCGGATTATTGTCCTCATCTTTGTCGCCATATTTATTACAACATTTCGGCCATTGTACGCCCCAGCCTTTTTCAGGTGGTTGGAATGCCGAGCTGAACACTTTATTTCGCTCACTGGGGTAGACTGTTCTAGTTCCAAGTGCCATGTTTAATGGATGTCAGTTATCAGTAATGCCCTATTAATTCCTCTCCGGCAGAAAAGTTGCAATAAATATGGCGACAAAAATGAGGACAATAATGTAAATAGTGTCTATAATAAATCATCTCAGAAGTGTAGACAGATACTGAAACTTGAATCAACAGAAATGTGGTTCTAGAGAAGGTTGCTGTTGATTCCATGGACAGAACTTGGGAGCAACGACGAAGTCTTAGAGAAAATAGATACAAAAATGAAATTCAGCAAGAGACAGTTGAAATTTCTACAGCACATAATGATGAAAGAGAACTTAGAAAATCTGATACTCACAAGACTGATTGAAGAGATGGGGAAAACAAAACATAACCTACTTGATTAAATAGATGGCTAAACAAGATTTAGGAGAGATAACCAAATGGCAAAATTTATTAAGAGCTAAAAAAGATTGGAAATTCATCACCTACGTCCTGAAGGGACACGGCACATAAAGAAGAAATTTCAAAAATTCAACTACTGAAGAATCTTTTCAATTTATTTTCACTATGATCTTTTAAAGCCACACATAGGGCATCTGATTCCTTTTCTACTGTTTTTATTTTACGTTCCATTCAATAAAGAAGAAGCATACTGTGATATTTGCATAAGCTTCTGTCACAATTACTATAGACAGACTTTATTTTAGCGTCATGGATGTACAGTTGGAGAGTCAAGTCCGAATTCGTTACAATCCGAAAAACTGCTTTGCAGAACCGGCTCCCAGAATGATGCTTCCCCGGTCACTAAAAATTTAACCTGTTCAAGTTTAGGGTCAACCTTTCCATTCCATAAACTTCGGCACCTCGAGGTGGTGCAATGGTTTACAAGCTTGTCTTGCAAGAACAATTCTGACTGAGTAATGAGTTCGATCTTCACTGAGTGCCCTATACTTTAGGCCTTGTGGCATATTAAAGCTACGCTTTGAAAATTACTATATCTTCATAAACTATGCCCTTTACTCTGTAACACTTTACCTCCAGTGGCTCTTAGGCCTTGTACATGGCGAACATTGTAAAAAATGAAAATGGAAATGGTATGTATCCATCTCCCATCCTCCAATTTGGGTTAAATAGTGAAACTTGTATCGTGAAACATAATTGATATTGTTGTGGTAGGATCCACCTAATTTGCATAGTGGAGTACCGACCATATAAATATGGTTGGTACCGGGAAGAGAGGGAGGAATCAAGAGATTCAAATAAAGACTCTGCCCGACTGCGACTCAGTCAACACATTCTCCAGGAACGGTCTTATCAGGAATATAGAAAAGACTATATGAAAATATTGTGTACACTTTCTTGTTTCAATACATTTTGTTCTAAGTACATATTGTGTTGCATTATTATTCCATGCATTAGTCAAGTTTCAATATTCTAGAAAAAAATTGTGAAGGCAATATTCACTTGCAAAAATAGTTATTCTGACAATTCAAAATATGATTAGACTTTTAAAAATAAACCGCTAAGTGTTCGTACGACGTAAGAAACAAATTAATTAATCAATTAATTTGAGGCATTCGTTTTCTACAACTTATCAACCCTTTTTCGGTTATTTAAATCCAGATTATATTTTTAGATTCTAAGAATTATTTTAGACAATAATGGTTTAGTGTTATAATTCTTATTAATTAACCAATAGCAGGTGGGAGAAGAGCTGGGTTCATGCCTTTCGCAAGGGTATTTGCGTGAAAATGAATATAACGAACCCAACAGGCATGGCAACTCGGCTCTCCGATTAGACATTTCCGTGCTATTGACCATTACGCCACCCACACATACAATCTTACCCACCTGATATCGAGTTATTGACCAGGCTCGATGTTTCTTAACTTCTCTGATTGTATAGCAACCAGTGTTTCAACTTAACGTGGTCGTAAGCCCATACGTTTTTAATTAACACATATTATTTAACTATGAAACACATTGTTGTTATTTCTGTGTACCGCATCCTTTCAAAATATGGGACATCATGGTTCTCCTAAATTTCCTATCCCTTGTGACCCTTAGCAGTTATTCTCCCTTTGATAAGTCTCCCGGCACATGTTCCGCTATCTGTACACACTAGCTACTCAGGTAGATGGTTCGCTGCCTTTCCCTATATGCATCAATATGCCCTGTGAGGGATGAGTTTTACCAAGCTCTCCTTCCTCGATTATTTCAGCTGTCTCTTCATGATTCTGAGTGTAAATGTTTTTTTCTGGCGCCATTTTCGTTGCTTCTTCATTCCGTCCATGGAAATCTGAGTATCCTTCTGTAGAACTACATTTCTGACCCATCCAGGTTTCTCTTAAGATTTGCCAAGTATCTTGCTATAGTTATGTTTTTCTCTTATTAGACGATGTTCTACAAAAGCGCAGATATGATTAACTAGGCACTGGTTATTTTTATATTTCATGCCGCATGCCAAACAAATGTTTTTGCTTCCTACAACCACATCGAGGCTGATGCCAACGTTTTAGTATCCCTAGTTGGAATATGGATGATCTTGAACAAAAATTAGTATTCTTTAACAAGTGAGAACAAAAATCAGTATTCTTTAACAAGTGTTCTAAGAATTAAAACTTATAATAAAACTGCTCAACACAGAAACTTATCTGGAAATCGAAATGATGAAAATGTTTTCAAATACCCTGTATCTATCGTAACATTCCATAATGTGTAATTCACAAATACAGTTCAGCACTGTCGGTGAATAGAGAATTTATATCCAATAACCAATTTAGTATAAGAGATAAGGAAAGGCTGCGTTGAGGTAATTTTTATCCAGCACTGAAAGATGTTAGAAAATCAAAATATCGACAGGAGAACTCGAATCGAGTCCCGAAATAGTCATGTCGGAACTAGACTCTCATCTGAATGTCAAGATTAAAAATGGCTTCCAGCAAATTAAGCCTGTGTGTTTCAAAAATACAATCAAATAACTTTATCAAATTCTTAGAAGACTTGCGAAAGCAGGAACAATTTAAATGGATAACACATGTAACTCTATAAGAAAATAATGACATAATAATGATACTAACTTTCTACACATCCTTAAAATTAATATCAATAAGGGAAAGCATTTCAATACTAGAATGAGCGATAATAATTAGTAAATTATAAAGTTAAGTAATAGCGAATGAGTCCTTATAGGGGAACATTTAATTGTATTTATTATTTCACGATTCAGAGTAGATGTTCTGTTAAGAATGTCCTGTTTACAAAGAAAACTGATGAGCTAAATTCTACAAGAACTACTGCTTATATAACTAATATAAAAAAGTAAGCACCGCAAAAACGAATTTGTCGATTTTTTTGTCTAAGATTGAATAAGGAGGTGGAGATAATAGATGTATACAACAATAAAAAAAAACAAAAAAACAAAAAAAAACGAAGATATTGAAAAAAAGGAAGAAAATAAACTAAGTTCATTTATTGGTAAATAAATCCTAATTTTATTAAAATTCGACAATTATCCGACTTTCACAAGAATTTCGAATTATTTGCATTATTTACATTATTAGAATTGTTATTCTCACCTTCATTGCCATATTGACAACAGTTCGCCTGGAAAGTCAAAGGCTGGCGCGAACAACGGCCGAAACGTTGTGATTGTGGCACTGAAGATGAGGATAACAGTCCGAATAATGTAAATAATTTAAATAATCATAATACCTCATCTCAGATATATAGACAGATAAACAATCTCCAAAGCAATTGTGTTTTTCACTGATAAAAGATCTAAAATTTCACATACATGCTGACAAAAGAAAAATCTAAATTTTTAAACAAATTTTTGAAGGTTCTAAAATGTTTGTAAAATATAGCTTAGAAACGAAATGAACCTTCGGTCTTTCTTCTCAATAATAACATAAATAGTTTGACAATAAAACTTTTTTCATCATGTATATTCATATTTTGACGAATTTTAGGTAGTAATTAGTTATACTAATACGAAATATAATCAAATCATATAATAGTTATCAATGTATCATTCTTTATATATTTCTGGTGTATTTTTATCTATTCCCCGTCCCCATGTCCACTGGCAAGGGAGGTAAATCAACTTATTTAGTAAATTTATGAGGGCTTATTTACTCTAGTCGTTTTAATAATCTATACAAATAAAATATTTATCTGCATATAGACAAAATTAGTTTCCGGGCAAAATGAATTGTGTAATTAACAAGTTCTTTTGCTCCTACGTTGATTAGATTGCAGTCGTATTTGTCCAAGCCTTTCATTTAAGGCACACAGCTCCCTGTGTCTGTTAAGTGATCGTCATGATTCAACTTCGTTTTGAAATAGTCTTGGTCGTCGCGGTTATTTCGTTCTCTTGCTATTTTTTCTTCAGAGAACTGTTATTAATAAACACATAATAATTTTAACATGAAAAGATATTAAGCAAATAAGCAATTTACATAATACCACGCGTAATCAATGAATCACAGATACCATCGAACAAGTAAAAAATTTAAAAGTACCGATTAATTAAACCGTTTATCGGCATCTATTTTAGTTGGGAATTCGTTATCTTCGTTTTAATTAACCTTTATTCAGTTTTCCAAGACTTTTGGTTCATTGCAACATACTGTCACAACTTAAAAATTAGTCATTTTTGACGGCATAGGTACAATAGTATATGTAATAACTTTTGATTTATAATATGGAATTACCCCAAATCTTACATATTAATTTATAAACTGGTAGATATTAGTAATTAAAAACAATTTCAAATGTCCACAGATATTTGCATGACACTGTTTATTGTTTTTTTCTCTTTGTTTTTTTTTTATGTAGGTAAGTGTGCACTCTACACGATTTATGGCTTATGACAACATCAGCTTGAAACACTGGTTCCTCTACGATCACCGAAGTTAAGCAACGTCCAGCATGGTCTGTACCTAGATGTGCAACCGCTTGGGAATACGACGTGATGTAAGCATGAATGTCTGTGAGGTCTAATGGATACTCAATGGGAATTGTTAATTGGAGAGACGAGTTCTAATTCCCGTCGGTTCGTTGGACTCACTTACGCGAAAATACGCTTGAGAAAGGTATGGAAATCCACCTCTTCTAACCCCAAACATAGGTTAATGCATAAGTAAAACATTATTATAAAAAAAAAAGTCTTACAATCTAAAAATAATTTTCTGGCCTTAATTAATCCGCAAAGAGTTGATTAGCCATAAAAAACGAATCCATTGATCAACACAATCTCGATCATCAGAGGTAAACGATAATTTCATATACCAAGTGTATTACAATTTAAATTGTTGAAGTGAAGCGGGTTCTATCCAATTAATTTACACTCACGATGAGTACATAAAATAATTCATATGTAATTAATTTTTGTTAACCTTGATTATGTTAATTACAATTTTAAAATATTTCATTTAATTTCGTGGGTGTCCGGGTACTTTAATAGGGAACAGTTCGAAAAAGCGAAATTTGTGAACTGAATTCGAATATCAGTCGGGTTCATAACATTAACATGTGCAAATACCCTTTTTCTTATAGGATATACCCATCTTTTCCCTCTAGTTACGGATTAAATCATAGGAAATGCATGCCGAAAAGTCATTATTAAATTTATACTAAAAAAACGTGTCAATTCAATATTCACTCAGAAAAGAAAAAAATATCGGTAAAAGAATATGTTTACGCCTTAAGTGTTGATAAAAAAAAATATAATGTTTCACTAATTTTCTGCGTTTTATTGTATCAATATGCAGAAGTTTTATTAGCTTATGTACTGTATAAAAGATTTTTATATATTTACTAGCAGCATGGCCCGGTGTTGCCCGTGCTTGATTCAAAAATCGTACGACTCATACAGCAATCGCTATCACTTGACTGAAAATAGTTTTGCCCTTCCTTGCCTTTAAAGGAGTGCCCTTTGCCATGCTGATATTGCTACATGCCTTAATTCTTGCCTATCTCACACTGCGAATTTTTTCTAAGCTCTATACTAAACATTAAATCTGTTACTAAAAAAGAACTAAACAAAAGGAACACAAAACGATCAGCTTTAAAAAAGGACTCGTAACTGGAAAAACCGAATGAAAAAAGAATGTTAACAAACACTTTTTCACACCCAACCTACTTCTGTGGAATCAAAATCAACGTTGAGTTTAAGCAAGAGAATGAGCCAATTGGAGTTAAAGCGCCATGCAGATTTAAATTTTTCCCACTTGTGATGAATGTAGCTTTTGATTTTTTTAGCATGCTAGCATGCTAGTTAACATTCGTGTCAGTCAGCTGTTGACTCTCACGCTGGCCAATAGAATCTTCCTGCCTATTCGTGGCTGCCAGCTATATGTTCTCACTCTGGCCAGTAAAAAATGGCCGCAAACTACATGAAAACTGCCGTAGAAGCATGAAAAATCGATTATTTACACTACTGATGGGAGTTGGGAAATACAAAGTCAGTTCTGGCCTTCCCGCTAACTTGGAGCATGTGCATGTAAATTTTGGTGCAAATCCGTCGAAAATTGCGGCCGTGCATTCGTTAGACACACACACATATATCCACATCCTGCCTTTTATAGATAGAGATGTTAAAATATTTATTGAAATTATTGGCAGACATCTATCAGCTACATGTATTGTTTAATATACAGACACGTTATAAGACAAAAGAACGATGCATCTCGTAGCAGAGAAGACTGTGGTTTCCTGACGATGTGTAATAGCGATGATACTACAAGTAATTGAATGCTAGACTGTTTTGTCACCGTTGAGAAAGAGAGATGAGTCAAGAGAAATGTGATTCTACAGAAGGATGCTGAGAATACCGTGTGATCAACGACGAAGGTTTATTGAAAATGTAAGCAAAAAAAAGCACTCATAAATAGAATAAAAAAGAGATAGTTGAAGTTTCTATGGCACGTAACGAGGAAAGAGGGCTTAGAATATTTGACACTCTCAGGACATATTTAAGGCAAGAAAGACAAAAAAAAGCGAGGCGTAACCGACGGAACGGGTTTCTATAAATGTTTATTAGAACAGAGTCTATGTGTTGTGGAGTATTTTCACAGTGGAGGCTTGTATTTCTAATAAGTCATCCTAAATTAAGTCCGACGTGCAAAACGTTAGGAACTTGGAAAATAAGAGTCAATGGCGCAGTAATCTAGTTGTTATGGTTGGTACTTCAAATGTCCGAATCTCGACTGACGCGCTCAACACCATTCGGTATTTATCATTTCACCCACGGGAAACGAATATGGCACAAGGCCGGTTTTATTGTGGGTATCCCCGAGCCCGTAGGCTCGGCCAAAAAAATAGCCTTTGAAGCCGATTAGACGGGTTCAGGCCCTGTCTACCTCCCCGGACGAAACCTTGCCCTTCGGCAAAGCCTCGTCCGGGTTCCTCTCTAACAACGCAGAGAGTTCGACAGGAGGCGTCCGCAGTCAAAGACCGCGAGACACCATTCGGTATTTATCTTTTCACCCACGGAAAAGAATATGGCACAAGGCCGGTTTTTATTGTGGGTTTTCCCCGAGCCCGTAGGCTCGGCCAAAAAATAGCCCTTTGAAGCCGATTAGACGGGTTCAGGCCCTGTCTACCTCCCCGGACGAAACCTTGCCCTTCGGCAAAGCCTCGTCTGGGTTCCTCTAAGCTTACGCAGAGAGTTCGACAGGAGGCGTGCGCAGTCAAAGACCGCGAGACGCCATTCGGTATTTATCTTTTCACCCACGGAAAAGAATATGGCACAAGGCCGGTTTTTATGTGGGTTTCCCCGAGCCCGTAGGCTCGGCCAAAAAAAATAGCCTTTTGAAGCCGATTAGACGGGTTCAGGCCCTGTCTACCTCCCCGGACGAAACCTTGCCCTTCGGCAAAGCCTCGTCCGGGTTCCTCTCTGCTAACGCAGAGAGTTCGACAGGAGGCGTCCGCAGTCAAAGACCGCGAGACGCCATTCGGTATTTATCTTTTCACCCACGGAAAAGAATATGGCACAAGGCCGGTTTTTATGTGGGTTTCCACGAGCCCGTAGGCTCGGCCAAAAAATAGCCTTTTGAAGCCGATTAGACGGGTTCAGGCCCTGTCTATCTCCCCGGACGAAACCTTGCCCTTCGGCAAAGCCTCGTCCGGGTTCCTCTCCGCTTACGCAGAGAGTTCGACAGGAGGCGTCCGCAGTCAAAGACCGCGAGATGCCATTCGGTATTTATCTTTTCACCCACGGAAAAGAATATGGCACAAGGCCGATTTTTTATGTGGGTTTCCCCGAGCCCGTAGGCTCGGCCAAAAAAATAGCCTTTTGAAGCCGATTAGACGGGTTCAGGCCCTGTCCACCTCCCCGGACGAAACCTTGCCCTTCGGCAAAGCCTCGTCCGGGTTCCTCTCTGCTTACGCAGAGAGTTCGACAGGAGGCGTCCGCAGTCAAAGACCGCGAGATGCCATTCGGTATTTATCTTTTCACCCACGGAAAAGAATATGGCACAAGGCCGGTTTTTTTTGTGGGTTTCCCCAGAGCCCATAGGCTCGGCCAAAAAATAGCCTTTTGAAGCCGATTAGACGGGTTCAGGCCCTGTCTACCTCCCCGGACGAAACCTTGCCCTTCGGCAAAGCCTCGTCTGTTTCTTCTGCTTACGCAGAGAGTTCGACAGGAGGCGTCCGCAGTCAAAGACCGCGAGATGCCATTCTGGCATATTTTTCAATTTTCACCCACGGAAAAGAATATCCAACTTTTTATCTATGGGAGAGTCCATTACAATAGAATAGGTACTTTGGCATAACACTGACAGATATCAAAAACAAGACATATACTAAGACCTACAAAACTTGCCCTTTCTATAAAGCCATCTTGAGATCTCTCTTCGTCATCAAAAGACATGTCTGATAGAAGGAGAAAAAAAAAAAGCGATGTTTCATCAAATAAAATTTATCTGCTTTCAGATTTTTATATATAGAAAACATAAATAATCTTTGTTTATTGGAAACATTTTTTCTGAAAAGGTACTTCGAAAAATGACAATGCAGTTAATACATAGTGCTCTCTTTCTTACTCTGTCTCCCTCTCTTTCTCTCTGTTTATATATATATATATATATCAGTATTTTCATATTTTTCTCAGTCTAATCATCGATATCTATCTATCTATATATATCGTAGCTGTCCTCTCGGTTTCTGCAGAATATGACCACTCCTTTATTTCATGTCGTCAAATATGGACATTAGTCTCAGTCCACTCAAATTTTATGTATTCGCAGGTACATCTTCAGGCCAAAACTGCAACCAATTTTGTACAGAATTATCATACCCAATCAGTTTTGTTTACAGTCAAATTATTCCCTATATGTTTATATGTAAAATATATTCATATATATATATATATATATATATATATATATATATATATATATATATATATATATATATATATATATATATATATATATATATATATATATATATATATATATATATATATATATATATATATATATATATATATATAAATGGATAGCGGCTTGATTGAGGAATCGCAGAGCCGAGTTCGATATTCCAGTCGAATCCATTACATTCACTTACGTGCTAATACCCTTTGGAAAGGTATGTATCCTTTCATCTTCCTCCAGCTATTTTTTAAAATAGCAGACTGGGTTCTATAGCCTTGGATGGCAACTGGTCTAGGAGAAGGACAACTCTGAATTCAAAACCAGCATATATTCGTTTTAAACCTTGTGGCACGCATCATTATTTTCCAAGTTTCTGTATTCGTCCCTCCAAAAGTGTGGCTGGTCCTGCACAAGGCCTTCACCACTATAAACAAATCTCATGTTCCAAAAAAAATGTCGGTTTCCTGGGGACTTATCGGCCAAGGACCCACATACGTCGAACGCGACGGGAGAGTCGATTATTATATATATATAAAGAAATATATATATAAATCATATATATATATATATATATATATATATATATATATATATATATATAT